TATAATAATCTATTATTTACTCACATAATTCTGAAAACTTAAAAGGCAGATAATTCATAATTAATTTGCAATTGTGATAGACGAATAATTTGCATATGATAGGGGGCAATAATAAGCCATGCTGCTATAAAACGTGCATCAAACTTGTGGAGAAACTTCAGTATGAAGCCGCCTACACCGACATGAATTACACCTGTCTCGTGCCTTTATTCACATTGCTATTCGCTTTGTTTGTGTCTGGCAGTCTGAAAGCTCTTAATCCGTATCGTCACAGCTGGGAGCTGCTGCTGCAGGAGCCCAGCTCAGGACCCTATACGAAAGAGGATGCGGCTCCAGTGCAAGAGCTTTGGCTAACCCAAAGTCTTGATCACTTTGAGGCTGGCGATAATAGAACCTGGCAAATGGTAAGCAATTTAGCTATAACTGCTGTAATTATCAATTTCACATTGAATATATGTTTTCCTTACAGCGTTATTTTCGCAATGCTAAATATCATAAGCCCCAAGGGCCGATGTATATATTTTTGGGCGGCGAGTGGACCATTACGCCAGGTTTACTCAGCACGGGTCTAACCCATGATATGGCCTTGGAAAATGCGGGCATTTTGTTCTACACTGAGCATCGATACTATGGCCAGAGCTGGCCATTTGAGTAAGTAGAATGGAGTGCATATCAGAAATAAAACCTGGAGACTATTTTATTCATCTAGAAATAACAACCTGACTGTGAAGAATTTAAAGTATTTAAGCCTGCATCAAGCCTTGGCCGATGTCGCTCACTTCATACGGTACCAAAAATCGCAGTCAGTCAATCTAACGCATTCCAAAGTCATCCTCATCGGTGGCTCCTACTCTGGCAGCATGGCAGCCTGGATGACCCATCTCTATCCAGAGCTTGTCGCAGCAGTCTGGGCCTCCAGTGCTCCGCTGCTGGCCAAGGCAGATTTCTATGGTAAGCAGAAATTTGTGCTCTATTCGCTCTTGATAAGGTCTTGATAAGATCTATTCAGAATACATGCACAGGGTCGAAAACTCTTTGACTCTAAGCTATGGCTCCAATTGTACGCGGCGCTTAGAGCGAGGCTTTAAGCACTTGGTAAACCTCTTCAATGAGAATAAAGCAAGCGATTTACTCAGCAGACTGAATGCCTGCCCAAATTATAATGCCAGTGATAGCCTCGATCGCATCTCCTTCTTCAGTGGCATCAACAACTACTTCGCCTGGATCACACAGAGTTACAGGTGAGACCTGCGGACGAGTTGAGTTCTTTACTTTCTAAAGCGTCTTTTAGTACCTACTTGCCACAACTTTGCGAAACGCTTCTCTCGCAGCACTCAAGCGACGCAGAGTCCTTGCTAACTTTTCTTGAGCTGCTCTACGCGCTTGACCAACGCTGGAATGCATATTACTGCCAGGACTTTAGCTACAAGTCAATGCTGCAGCTGTACAGCGAATCCTCGGACCACAGCTCGGGCTGTAAGTTGCGTTCTTTACTTACGACTTTTCAAGGTTTTATAATTTTTGTGTCTCTATATACATTTTATATATTTTGAATTTGCGCTCGACTGATTCAGTATTAAGGGTATGTGAATTGAGACGTACCCCAGGACCGTATACATATAGAGCTTAGCTTTAGAGCTAAAAGACCTAAGTGGGTCACTCTAACTAGTTGCGTGGTAAATAGAAATCTTCCTCAGTTTTATACTAAATTTTCATGTGAATCACTCCCTATTGACCTGCTCCTCCTTGAAATGAGAAAATGAAAAAAGTATATATGGTAGATAATAGGTAAATAAATAGATTGCAATTATGCAAATTATTAACTCAACTCTGCTCGACTGATGGCTTTATAGTTCATTACGATAATATGGATTGTTTCTCGTTTATATAAAAGTTCTCAGTTTATCTGTAAAATAATATCCATCAAACCGCATGACAATATTTGGTGTAAGAATAGTTGTATGCCTCGAGAAGAGTATGCCACACTCGGTGTGATTAGAACAGCCTGTTGACAGGCAAACTTGGCTCATTTGCTAACAAATCAAAAATTTGCTTGCAGCACGCGCCTGGTTCTATCAGACGTGCAGCCAATTTGGGTGGTTCACAACCACAGGCAGGAGCGCCATTAACGCCACATCAGGCACTGCCACCTTTGGCAGCGAAGTGCCTTTGTGGTATTTCGAGCAGCTATGTCGTGATGCATTTGGGCCGGAACTGGGTCCGGCCACACTTGCCTTGGGCATCGCACAGATGAATTCTGAATTTGGTGGACATGACTTCGACCACAGTCTGCGGTATCGTCAAGTGCTGTTCACTCACGGCGAACTGGATCCATGGCGGGTGCTGGGCTATGCACGGGGCCGCCAGGCGTTGGTTATAGCAGGCGAGCATCTAGCAATTAGCTGGGTAAATAGTGTGTTAATTAGTCTTGTACCCCGAGCAGGATACTCCCATGTAGAGGACCTCGCCAGCATCAATGTGCAGGACAGTGTGCCCATGAATCTGGCCAAGCTGCGTGTCATGTCCTTTCTACGTCGCCACACCGAAGTCATTTAGATGGCATGAAACATCTTTATTCTTTATTAAATAAATATCTTATGCTCCACGTGGGTGTCACTCTGTAAATTCCACAGCTCTGCAACCTCTCGCATGCGTTGCGGCTTTTCTTTGTTCGCCTCATTGATCCTGGACAAACATAGACAAATTGAGTGGCACTTGAACGTAAGTGAGATAAGTGTTTCGACTTGTCTTCGCATATAAATATATGTATATATATGTGTACATAGTATATGTTCTTATACATTCACGTAGGTGTATGTGGGTGGATTGTTTGCTAAGCTCAAGAAATCGAGAAAGCACTTTCAGTTGATTAGCAGAATGCACTTACATCATGTTTGCGTTAGGTGTTCAATAATCAATTAGAACAATGCATCAAGGTGTTATTAGTTTCTTAAGCACTTTAATAGATTTAGTTAGTTTAGTTGAAGTGCGGATTTCAATTTAAATCAGAAATGTTTGAAGAGAATAGAATGAACTAAATTTTGTGGTATATAACTAAAAATGTATTAGTAAGCTTTTATGTCTATTTTTTTAAGAGCATCACTTCTCTAGAGTCTTGGAAATTATAAATACCAAAAATAATTAAATAAATAAATTA